GTGTGTTTTGACAAAGCTTTTTTCGTTTTTTTTTTTATGTCTTGATATTGTAATGAAATGATTTCTCCATTTAAAATATTTGTGTCTACTTCCTAGACATGATAAAAACAGCCATGCGTACACCTACTTAAGAAAAATTGTCATAGAAAATAGAACATTTGAATTTAGTAAAAAGGAATAAATTAAAACAAGACAAAAGAAAGCGTTCAGCCTCAGTGATCTTCTTTTGTCTTTTTAATTTTATTCCTTTTTACTAAATACAAATGTCCTATTTTTTTGACAACGCCGTTTTCGCAAGTAGGTGCATATCCTAAAATTACAAAGTACCAATATTATCTGTTTACAAAATAGAGCTTGAATATTACGTTTTTATGTAAGAATTTGTTATTCTATTCTTCTTCGCAATATATCAACAGGAACACCTGAGCAATGATTGAGTCAAAGTTGATATTAAAGTCTTATGGTCAAACGGCATTCCTCACAAGCTTTTGTTAATGTATGAAAAAAATACATTGTAATATAAGCAAAAACTCTTTATTATCTCTTTATGATTTATATGAATGGAGATATTTAAAAGCTTGAAAAMGACGTATTAAGATAGATTGTGAATGGATTTTTGAAGTTTCCCAATTTTCCATAGTGAGAAATCTATAACACGACCGCATTGGATGCCGGTTAATTACGAACCTTTCAAAGGAATGCATTCATTTTTGATTTTAAAAAGGTTTTTCGGAGAAATAGAGAAATGAAAGAGAAATTATTGTCGTTCAGTGGGTATGCAATCGCATTGAATATTCAAGCTCAATACATAATAATAATGAAYTATTCTTCACGTGACTCAAAATCTATATTTAGTATACCAATAGCCAATAGCGATCGAAGTCTAGTTTTTTTATTCTTAAATTTTCTGTGCCAATTTCAGCTGTTTCTTGCAACCTTCATTGAAATAGCAGTATGTAACTATTTCAACAATGGGGGCACAAGTATACCATAATATTGAACCATTCAAGAACAAAATATAACAATAATAATTAAGGAAAACGAACTCTTTACTGCTCTTAAGTTGAGTGATGTACATCGAACTCTGTACCGATAAAAACTTATCATTTGTGACTCTGTCATTGTAATTGTTTGTAATTTGAAAGCGCTTAGAGCAGATTTGTATAAGCGCTGTATAAAATAAAATTATTATTATTATTATTAATAATATAAGTCAGATTCCAATGAAAAAAATTGTACTGTGTTGTCTAATAGCATATATACGCTTTCTTGCTCTTTCCCAGAACAATGATCAGAATACTAGCTCTACAACAGGCTATTTTCTAGCTCCTGTTTCTAATTATACTTCACATCAGATATCAACATCCATCCATGAATTATTATATTATTGGCTTTCGAAATGCCCTATCACTTTCGTACAAGTCTTTTACAAACAGGTAAGAAACCATTTTAGTGCAAATGATATTATCCTTAAATCGAAGAAAATATTCTTACCTCAATATGCTAGATGGCTTGCTTCGTTGGTGTTGTGACAAACAAGGATAAMAGAGGCGCTGTATTTGTGATATTCTTGAAACACTTTCCTCTCATTAATCACCTTTGCTGAACGACATCCTCTTCAGATAATTATCCTCTCGGTTCTTTCCGGTCATAGAATGACTACTTGTTGTCGCTGTGCTGTGAAAAAAACTTAATTTTCTTATGTTAAAAGCCCGAATTTAATGCAATGTTTCAGTTACAGCAGTATTAAGCTGAATGCCATTGAGCCGCGATGAAATATATTGGACTCTTGAAAGAGATCTCTCTAAGTCGTAATAAGATGATTTAGATCTTTATATCTATAACGAAATATACAAAATGACTGTTATTCAACTTTGTTTAGTAGCTTTCCGTTTTAAACTTGGTTRGGTCATGGTTGAATTGATAAATGAGTTCCYCCTCAMATTCTGCAACGAATCCGTCACCGGATCCACAAGACCKCGCCCTGAGCTGMAATTGTATCGAAGTCTAACTTTATCACCGGGTCAAAAACAAARCTGTTATTGATGCATTTATCTTCARATATCTTCACAMATCTCTTCATTKTATATTGYTTGTTTTSGAAGAATCCCWTAATCCTCATAATGCGWCCAAAAGTATAAACAAAAMTTGAATAATGCGTTGACATCTTCCAACTGAATAAGGAAGCTGAGACAGAAAGGTTTTATGGGAAATCTAAGTAAAGTTGCAACTTCGGTTATTTTCATCTATAGTTGGTGACAGAAATCACACTAGATATCATAATGACATCACTAGTTATGCAATTTCCCAAGTTCCTTTCCGTCTCAGCTCCTATATCCAATCTTTAAAACTCTACAGTGTTTGTTCAGTTAAAATTTAAACACTCTACAATCCCACGGAAGATAATACCAATTCGAAAAAGGAATATGAACGTATGAAATATCGTGAGCAATTGTGTAAAAATATGACATTTTTCTGACGTTCTAGAATCTTTGATCATCAAAACTTAACAGGTTTTAGAAGTCAGTCAATTTTACCMCTRAAAGAAATGGCAATCGAAGTACATCCGGAAGTATGTAACTGACACAATATCTACACAAAATACCAATTTTTGACATACTTCAACTTTTCGTAAACCGTTCTAGAATCGTTTTGAACAAAAAATAACGGATTTTGGATTTAATTTGATTGAAAAAAAAAACATCCAAAATCATTGAAATCCTGTTCGTCTACTAAAACATACTTTAAACATTTTAACGTTTAAAATTTTAGATTAAATTTCAATTTAAAAATTACGGATTTTATCTGAGTGTTGAAAAGATCTCTCACGAGTGAGCGTAGCGATTTTCAACACGATAAGATAAAATTCGTATCTCAAAGCGACCATATAATATATCATATAATTACATATGGAAGTAAATCATGTCGTAAAATTCCTCTTTTTCTGACTTCCACTATATAGAGAAACCTCGAATAACAATTTTTACTAGTGAAAATAACAACTTTTGGTAGATTACCCATGATTAAAGGCGTGCGTGCATCCGAGAACATTTGCGCGATTTTCCAACATAGGAAAATTCGCCGGGGCATATTTCAGAATTCAACTTTCAACAAGATTTGTAAGACAATAGAAATGATTGCAAAGCTTTTTGGATTCACGTGGGCCTTTACRGCAGATAAGTGACAAACATCCATATTGAMRACCCATAGTGCCTTTCGCTCGTGCACTCACAACTTTTTTAAATTGATAAATCTCGCAGTAAGGCTTTTACCCGGTAAGCCTAGAAAGAGGGAGAGAGCTACCGCTTCTCRGCTGCACAGACAACGGATCACCTGAATAAGGGCTAATGGGTAAAAGGATGGGAGCCACCACGGTACCAGATCACAGACCAGGAATTCAGTTAACACCAGGTAACAAACCRACAACTTGCGACCGGCTTTGCACAACGTCCAGTAAACAGTGGAAAAAACAACAATAAACAAATAAGGAATGACAAAAATCGCAATACAACAACAACAAAATGTATCAAAGCAAGAAAGGAAAAATGGAAGAAAAAAAAAAAAACAGTTCATATCAAGAATCTCGAAAATGACATCAGAATTAAAGGGAATCTTTAAGTGTAATAAGTGCCTTTTATAATGCCATCAAATGCGTGAGAATSAGAAACAAAATCAATTACATCACAACTTCTTAATAAAGATCGAGTGCCAAAATTTCACCAAACTGTCACAACGGAACGTGGYTGATTTATTTCAGTCACTTAAATCATTAAAAAACAAGAGAAATYCACTACTAAGTTTAGTCTTCAGRTACAAATGCCAAACTGCAGTAATTTATTTCGCCTTATAGGCGCCTTACTAATACTTTTATTAACGCATTTCCTAAGCGCGAGTCAAATTTCTTCCAGATTCAGGATACAGCGTACGAGTGTGTCATTCGAACAATCAAAAAGGCGGGAAAAAATAACTTAAAGGATGCCTTTGCCTAATAAGAAATAAGCCAGTTAAGACGAGAATGAATGACATTGTYATTTTCTTGTSTTATATCCACTAAGACAAACCACGCGATATTTTCCTTTTCCCTTTTCACGGTCCATGATATCACTCCCAACCCGTGAAATCGTGAAATGTATATCAGATTAGGCTTACAAATKTTAGTTTAAAGAAAACAGAGGAAAACAAAAATGTTATAATAAATCACCAAAACGCTCATTAAAATAGTTTTATAAAGCTACAAGTTGTAGTTTTACGCTATTCAAATTATATAAATGATWTATATAAAATGGTCTTTATAAATAGCGTGAAGTCTAAATTGTATTTTCATACAAATTACATGTAACTCCGACGTCAACTTTGTACGATATTCCAATCACACCAAAAAAAAAACACAAATACAAACACGTTGAACTGTTATGATATCAATAATAAAACTAATATCGGTAGAAAATATGAAGAAGGAAAGAAAAAAGAAAACATGAAAATACCTGAAGCTTTCCCACCGTAAACAAACGTGAGGCATGAAACTCYTAATGCAAATCTGATGAGCAAATTCAACAACGCTAACAGACACTTGCTGGATACGTGATAGAACTGCATATCCTAAGCTTTCAAGAACGGATATTATACGGAATAATAAATTGGTATGCAAAAAAAAATGATGGTATGAATTTCAAATAACATTATACACCCGTTTTCAAAAACGTTGACCCAAATAAACGCATAAAAGTAAAAATAACTAGAAGATATTCGAATTAGCTCATTGACATTTCTGCACAAGTTGAACAATTATTATTCGAAATTTCTAGGTTTTGTTCAAGAAGAATTATTTAGTTAAATTACAGATGCGACGTGACTTTTTTGAAAATTCCGACAGTAAACTTAATTAAAACTGTATTTTTTATTTGCATTTTGGGACAACGTATTTGCTAACAGGTGCAAAACAATAATAATTAATAATAATTGCGGTTAGGATGATTTTAAGATATAATAAAATAAAACAATAAAATGATGCAGTGTTTTAATGTCACGTTAATCACGTTATTATTTAAAAAATACAGAATTTTCCTAAAAACTATAGTACAAAATTTTCTACTTTTCCATTGCAAAATATAGTAAAAATCATTCMGTGAATATAACATTATCCCTAAAAATGTGAGTTAGAAAATACAACATGAAATAAAACGAGAGTTCATTTCATATACACAACTCCTAAACTGGTTTTAAAAACCTAATATTTATACTTTACATTTATGTCGTTAAGTTAAATCTTGTCAGCTTTGAATTCAAACTTGTATTCCAAGCAAAGGCAATTTAAATAAAAAATGTTGCCATGGTGACGGCATGAAAGGTCACGTGAGAATTCCTGGTGCCTGGAGCCAGTGGTATCACTAGGTCAGCATGCTTACATGGAAGTAATTAGATGAACCTGAAATTGTTTATAAAATCGGTTATCAAGAATTGAATTGTGAGTCAAAGGAAAGAAGGATTTGAGGGAAGAGTGTGTGTTTGAATATGTCAAGAAACTGCGAAAGAGGGAAAAAATAAATAAAAAAGATAAATATAAAGGAAAAAATACAATTGAAATATAGTGACAAATTTGATTAACTTCAAGCAGGTTTTGAGTTGCAAAGGTAATATCGGATGAACGATGTCTCTAATCTTGGTTATTTTAGAAAGAAATATATGCATGACTGAGAAAACATAAAAAAATGAATTAAATTTTGTAACGAAATGATAATAATAATAAATCACTGGAAATAAGGAACCTAACTCGATTAACTGAAAGCAGGTTGTGCAACTTACAAAGGCATATTCGGCCAAGTTATTCTATGTTTATAAACTTCCAATTCTAATTACCCAAGGCATKAAGACCAAAACTATATGTTTACATGTAATTTTGTAAAACCCCGGACAGGGGTGTATCATAAGGAAACTAAGTTCATAATATCCTTAGGAAAAACCAGGATGAAACCCAATTGGATTAAGTATTTTAGGGTAAACATTTGTAAATTTTGTTGACTCCATTCAGGAAGAGACTTCGGTTGACAATAATACTTATAATCCATAAAGTCAAACATTTTTTGAAAAATCATATTCTGTATACCAGCATAAGATTTGCGATAATTTAATTATGATTTTAGCTTGGATTTACTAAGACAACTAATGTTTAATCGTAACAATTTTTGTAAAATGAGCTTCACTAGCTAATGCTGGAACTTGATAAGCAATATACAAAGCCTGCAAGTGATCTGCATGGAGTTTAAAAGCTCGATAACTCACACAGATCACAGCTCGTATTGTACACACTATTTGTATCTTATTCTAATACGTCTTAGCACAGCAAATGATCAAAAACGATTGTTAAAAAATCTTTCATTTTCTATTAAAAAATGTATGTGCATAGGAAAATTCACACTGTAGTTTATTGAACTAATGAACTGCAAATTGTCGTAGTGGAATTCACTCGGTACAAATAATTACAAATAACAGGGGGTGATTAAAAATGGTCAATGCTAGGAGTACGGAGTATCAAAACTGAAAATACTTTTAGAATATCTTCAGAAATTACCTATAAAAATTGAAATACTGCTGAGTTTTCCTGAATTTGTATCATTATTCATATCATTAGAAATTATTAACGTATGAGATCTATTTCTATAGTAGAATATGAATTCCATGTTCTTATTTTCTAATCCTAAAATCCAAACGAATCTCAGTAGGATAGTGCTTGAGCTTAAGGGTTTTTTGACTAACTTAAATCGGATCAAAAGTCCACTAAATACAAGAACAAATACAGATTCGTACTACTCCACCAAGTCTTAGAATTTATCTGAAACGATAAGACTATATGGTGCAATGGTATCCCTTAGTATTAGCTTTATATATTTTGAACTCTTCTGGGCTCAAAAGGGAACACAAAACGGCACCAAATGCTAAGAAGTTAATCTGTAAGAGAGATGCTATATCTGCTATCTACTTCACAATKCTTGATATTAAGAAACATCAACAATGACAACGACTTGTATATTCCTTTAGTTTCTTTGCGTTTTTCTTTTTTTTTGTTTTGTTTCTTCGTCATTCTTACGATTTCTTACTATTAAAGGAAATGAAATATGAACGGCAAAAAAAGAAAGAAAACAAAAGAATGAAAAGGCGAAATATCGAAGATATTCTGTGCATATTCTAATAATGAAGATAATAGGTTGTCGAAGTCTCGAAGTACTCAATAACTCGAAGCAATACAGGTTATCTTTCTGAATTTCCATTAATAACTCATAACTCGAAATATTAAAAAAACGCTCGAAAGTCGAAGTAAGCTTCTTTGCTTTAGTTTCGTGTTATCTCGACAAATTTGACGAAAAATGTCAATATAACTCYAAGAATTATCATTTTGAGTGCGAACTATCCGTCTAATATTACGATGAAAAACTTGAATGAAACTGATAATTGAATCAAAAACCGCGCTTTTCTTATTTGTTGCGTTTTCAAGTTTGAAAAACACGATACTTGACACGATTTATTTCGTTTTATTATAAAATGTCAAGATATGCACAACAACAAGAACACAATATGGCAAACTAAATATCAAAAAAATAAAAATCATTTAAAAAGTAAACACAACTTAAATTCAGTCGGTTTTCTCTCGAATAAACTATAGTTTCACAAAACCCCCCAAAATAACTCTAACACTAACTCTATTGTAGTTGCTAAGCTTAAATTTTGCCCTTAATAACATTAGGGTTTTATACAATATCAAAATAGGCGGTACTRCTAAGCGGGGGYTCTCTSATTYTCAATAAAGCCCACACAATGGCCTATTTCATTAGACATGATAACTCACTGCGCGAYGCTATAACGTTGTAAATAAAACGTTCCCTAATCCTTATGTCTAGAAACCTTAATAAAAACAAGACTTACAAAACATCCGAGTTTGAATGGAGTAAAGTTTAGAGAAGGGGAAAGGGTGGGGTAGGGGTAGGGGTGGGGGTGAATAGGTGTAGCTAGGTTTAAGGCTTTAAAACATTCTATACCTTCAAAACCATTGTGGCTTTGCTGCTTTGGATACAATAAATGATTCCTATTGAGTTAATTCAATAGTTGTAAAAAATGCTCTCACGGAGCTTCGTAGTAAACAACTGTCAAGCAGCARGTAGCGTTACACGCTTGCTAATAAATCAACTACAAAACGAGCGTCATACGTGGTGTATTGGTCACGCTATGTGCTCATTACTATCGCTGTATTTCCTGTTGTTAAGTCTCGTGATGTTCCGGATCTTTGAGTTATAACACAGAGAGTATAGGGGAGGAGTGGAATCGGGGTAGGGGACTCTATTGATTATGACACGCATGTAATATGCGGTTTTGTTCTTTTGAATTGGATACTCGATAAATCATGTATACCTATTGTCTTGTCTAAATCATTGCATTAATCGCATGCCATCGTATAGTCGGGACGTTGTGAAAGTCTACACAAATAAATCATTTACAAAACAAACACACGACTAACGTTACACAATACCTGCTWTATCCTGTCACGTTAACTGCCTCTACTAACATCTTGCTGTATTGCGTGCTATCATCTTAACGAGTCCAGTGGGTGGTAACGTACACGAGCGTTGTACGCTGCATGCCTCTAATAGCTTCACGCAGGGAGAATTGTTGCTTGTGTTTTGTTGAAAACCTTTAGGAACTTCTCGTGTCGAGCGTTCTTTGTGACCAGTAACGCAATACTCAATCACGCCTAAACTGCTCACTCAGCTATACATATTGTTACATCTTAATCAACTTCCTACCTAATGAAGTACACCCTTTTAGCAGAATAAAGGGCCTACCTACCACGAAGTGCCACACCCAGTACCCCCTTAAGAGACAGTAGTACGCCTGGTATTATTATTAGAGGCTCAAAACCTCACGTAATTTCTCTAGGACGTTTGCAGTTCATGAAAATGACATCAAATTCGAAAACATTGTCCACTTGAAAAGAGTCTCATGTTTTTACGTTTTCAAAAGTACATTCACTGGTGTCAATCCCAATACAATGTATTTGATAAAAGTATTTGTTAAGTTATTCGCTCCTTAGATTTTGTACGAGTTTTATTTTCTGAATAAGGCATTGTCCGGTTGATATCACAATTCGCAAGAGCGGTTTCCAGTTTAAAGACCTTACGTTTTGCACGAAGACATTGGGCTTCCTGTGTTAAAATTAGATTTGTTCTGATTTTTAGACAAAACAACTGACTATTTGTACTTACTCGCTCGGCTCAGACATCAAAGACCCTCTRTTTCCAAACTTCACAAAAGGCTTTCGGTCTCGACTTGGTCTGTGTTTCCGTCGCTTTTTCTCTTTTCGGGATTTCGATCGGCTTTGAGAATCAGCTACAGAACTACAAAAAWATGAAAATTTAGAAACTTCTCCACTGCCAGGCCGTTAGGACCGAAGTCGGATGTCTTATGCATAATAAAATCACGTCAATGATGAACTTCTCTGACCCYAAACCACTCCTTAAAATCAAAGTATATAAAGAAACAAACAAACAAACAAAAAAGAAGGAAATGTGAAAAGAATGTCATATCAAACGATTGCTGTACATTCGCTTGGGATCCCTGAAGTTTGGGGATTCCTTCCGTCTTTGCTAGAGCTCGAGGAAGAGTTGTTGAAATCTCGATTAGCGCTAATCCTGGGTTAAATCTTTAAAAACCTATGGGGTTAAAACAACCTGGSCCKGGTCTGTAAGTGAATTTGAACACGACAGACTTGCTCATGTTCGGATTTGCTCGTTCTCTACAATATTTCAAACCTTTTTAGRCACTTGAACCTGAAAAAATCTCCGAAAACAGTTCAAACGTATTTCCAAATATGGTAAGACTATCAAATACGGAACAGGAAGTCCAACAAAACGACTGTGTTTACGTCCAAATCAATGATTTAATATGCAACTATATTATTATTACCTTTCTGGAGATTTGTCAGCSGCTGCTTCATAAGGTTCGTCATTGTTATCGAGTAACAGCGGACTAGCTGGGGACGGTTCTTCAGTGTGRCTACTACGTGGCTTTTTAAGGGCCGACTTAAGGGGTTTCTTCAGTGCCAAGATYGGTGTATCTGGGGTCGTGTCTGATGTAGTAGCTGCTGATCCAGAGGCAACAACATCGGGAATTATCTCCGGTGTGCTGGTAAACTTAGGGTGTTCTTTAAGAGGACGTTCTAGWGCTTTRTCTTCTTCTTCTGTGTCAGACGAATCGCTGTCRTCAAAGGCTTTCTTCTTCATATCGGGTTCTTCTTCTGGGGTTGTATCTGCGTAAGAATAGCAATAATCATGGTTAAAACGCTGTATTATTGGCCTCTTGAAAGAAATTGCTTTATAGAAACTTTTGTCCACGTTGGACAGTACAATTTTCTCAGTAGCTCACAACAGCGGCTGCTAAAAATCGCGCACGCGCTGAAAAATTGCGCGGAAAGTTGATGAGGATGAAAGAATAAGCACGTCTTTGGAAATTGCTCCAATATGTCAGCTTCTAAAAGGCAGTTCTCATTCGCGTAACAGCGCGCAAAACAGAAAATTTCGAAAAGTCAGATACAGTCAACTCTCGCCTTACGGACACCTCGATATTGCGGACAGTAAAATACTAAATCCCCGGCGAAAAATACAAAGAAATGACTGAAAGTAACTCTCGTTACTACGAACTCTCGCTACTGCGGACACTAAATTGCGGTCCCGAGGGTGTCCGTAATAGCGAGAGTTGACTGTACTTGATGCATCAGTCGTTGCAGTATAAATTGCTGAGAAACAAGCACAGAGTAAGAACACATTTACATTAGTTTATGTAGTTTTTGATTGGTTGAAATACAAGAAACCATAGTCAAGTCAGTAACTTACCAATGGGTGTGCTGTGCATCGGTCCATCTGATGCATAGAAAGGTGCTGCTGTACAATTAAAACAAACACACAATAAGAACTACTGAACAATAGCACGTGGATAGAGCGTATTTCGTATGAGAGGGAAACGGACGGTACTGTACTGTAACCGTAATCGTACTGTAACCAAATTCTAGTGCCCCATTGGTTCACAAAAATTKTGCAGGCCAGGTCCGGTAACTGTGCGGTAACCGTGCGGTAACGGTGTCCCACTCATACGAAATCCGCTCTAAAATGGGTCACGTGACAAGATTCATAGTCAACCGGCATTCAGTGTGGTCGTGGTTTGGATTGTGGAAAGGAGCGGAGAACAATTAATCACGCAAGCATACCTTTGTGATTTTTTCGGGATTTTTCTGGAGTTTTTTCCTCACCATTTGGAACTAAAAAGATAAAAAGAACAAACTCTTATTCCATGTCCACTCCACCTTTTTGTTAACCTAAGTAACTTTCAAAGAACTTCAAAATACATTTGTCCTTTCCATTCTCCCTCAGCCCCTCCTCGATTCTCTTTACGTTGCTGCACAGTCTAATGTACAGCGGTCTTACACTTACTTTGCTCATCACCAGACGACTCGGACGTATCTGACAAAATGACTGGAGACGGGTTTCGATTTTCGTCGTCAGAGGAGGATTCGGGATTAGTCGTACTGTGCTCTGAAAAAAAAAGATAAAACCACGTTAGTGTACAGCGACTAAAATGAGACCAAAAATGACACAATGGCATGAATCTGGAGTTTTGTCTTTCTGAAGTATTTCTCATCAAAAAAGACTAAACGCCACCATTCTACAAGAACGTTACGAAAACGAAGCGGTTGCTACATTTACTTACCTCCTTTCTCCGGTGTCTCCCACATTTTCCTCGCTTTTTCTAAAGAATGAACAAAGAATATATAATTAGAGTCAGGATAATGGCAACGAGGTGTAATAATGGCTTTTAATGGTATCAAAATAACATGAGAATGTTTACGTAAGATAAACATTTCTATCGTCTATAAATAGAGTGATTTTCATAAACCCGTCAAATACACTCAGTTTAATACACTTTAGTACACCTTAATACCATTGTTTTCTTTTGTAGTCATCTGACTATTACACTTTAACTAATAGTTTTTGTTTTACGGGTTTATGAAAACCACTCTAGAGTCCATAGCTTGATAACAATGAATATTAATCAACTATAATCTTACCTAGCTCTGGGTTATCGGGGTAGTACTTTGCCTTGGCTTTAGGTAAAATTTCGTCTAATTCCACTTCTAATATGCGAGGAAATAGAAGAATAACAATATAAATGCGAACGAATGAATAACTACAAATGAATTAATGAAAAGAGATAAATAACCAAAAAGAAACAAACAAAAAATGATATACGATGTAAAAGAAATTATGAGCGAASTTCAATATTCTAAAGCGCAATGTTTTCATGAATAAAACCCTTTGCGTGTGATCTCAACGCAACTTCATCTTGGCACAAAACAAAAAATTGCATTCGTCTCAGGAGCTAGAACCACCATTCTCTTACCCAGATCCTTCGCTGGTTGGAGACGATACTTGAAGCCCCTGAATCTGGATTGACAATAAATGTGTACTGACGGCGACATGGGACAGAGTTTCGATTTTCCGTTGCGAAACTAAAAAGGATTTGGGTACGAGAATGCTAGAGCCACCGTTTGTCCCCAGATGGATCTACCTTTCCATAACTCTTAATCTAATTCTTTTAAAGAAAAAAATAACTACAACTCACCAGATCCTGTGAGTCCATCACCAGCACTTCTCACACTACTATCTGGTATTGACATGCCAGTACTGTAGGCTGTACTGGTAGGTCTGCTAGTACCAGCAGTRCTACTAGGCATACTACTGGATGGTTCTGAAGTACTGGTATTACCGCCATCGTCTTCATCGTAATGGTAAGGAGATCGCACCGCTGTCATTTCACCAGGATGGTAGGAACGTTTCTGGAAAAACAAATTCAACACCGTTAATAACGATTATAACTAATAAAGCCTTTATTAGAGAAGTCCGAGTCGGAGCTTTCGCTGTCTACAGCACCGTCAGGCAAAGCTTGGACTCAACTAATCAGCACATAGAAACCAAGACTTCATTAGATACAATCGTATATACATATTATAATGCTAAAGGATAACTTCAGACTTTCTACATGTAAAAATGTTTGTATAATGTGCAAAAACTGCGGCAGTTTCGTGCCTTGGCTGTGCAATGCTGGATTTCAGTGGAACCCAACCTAGGCACAATCCGCTTAATACATCCATTTCAATATCACAGCGAAAAGAAACCCTTTTTGTGAGTTTCTTGGTGACCATAAGTGCAATCGTACAACCCCTTCTAAGGTGACACGCATCCCTCCATGAAGAAAATCCTGGATCCGCCTATGCGAAGGGCTAAAGTCGACCGAAAATCATTTTTTCAGTCTTTCAATTGTGTATAATTTATCATTTTATTGGAGAAACTTTAGCTAGTATAAAATGAAAATTACTTACAAAATGTTGCACAGGTTTAGGAATTCCATAGGTCTTGTCTCCAGTCTTCCAGCGAACGTACGCGTTCTTGAACTCCTTACGGACCTGGAAAAAAAGCAAACATAAAGGTTAGATTAAGAGCAGCTAATAATGCGAAGAACCTTCCACTTCAACGCCTTGTCCACAATGATACCTTTTCGTAGCATTTAGGTATTGGCTTCCGTCCTCAATAAAATGAAATGCACAACAAACGCTACGAAAACGCATCAGTGTAGACAAGGTCTATGAGAGTATTATACTCGTGTAACTCTCCAATAGAAAAATGAACTATAAAACTTGTTTGCTTTTCTTCTTCCTCATTTTATTTATTTTTTCTTTATAACATCGTAGATCATCATTTCATCATCATCATTAGGGAGGCCACAGCGGAGTCATGCACAGTCCAGGAAACCAGGTCGGACGTAGTTGTTGCGCTGGCATCGCTCGTGAGGGTTTTGATGAATATTGTAAACTATTTAATAAAATGCCGTTGTTGTTGTTGTTTAACATATTTTATATCTCACCTTCTTATCAAACAGACAATAAAACAAGAAGATAAACAATCCCTGTAAGAAAAAATGAAGCAATCATTAAAAATAGGAAAAATAATGAGCTATTTAGAAAAAAAAAATTAGTATTTCAAATGCATACCTGAAAGCAAGTGAGGGCCGCAAACGAGTAGTGAAACATCTCCAGGTCTTTGTTGACCATAAGAATCGCAAACACAAGCGTAACACCAAGTAATGGTAGTAAAATAGCTGATGCTCGTAATCCAGCCCTGCACACAGAGAAAATATAGTAATCAAATTAACTTTCTTTGTCCTTTATCTGGTACATTTAGACCAATCATTTTAGACTTAAAGGCCCGTGTGCATCCGAGAGGCTTTGCGCGATTGTCTCACATTTGGAAATTCGTAATCTTTGATTTTGAAGCAACTGAAAGCAACTTGCAACAAGAGACATTTGTAAAACAAACTAAACGATGGCAAAGATTCTTAGATGCACTTGGGCCTTTAATATATTTCAGTTAAGACTCAGACAGGTGTAAGTATAAAGTGCCTTCTTGCGAGGACGAGTATCATAGCTATCACGAGTTGAATTCAAAACTAGACGATCAGCGATCGTTTACATGGGCTTCCTGTGGTATATCGAACCCTAATGAAATTAATATTACTATTAAAGACAACAGCAAAAAAAGTTTTCCTTTAATGAAAAATAATCAAACAAGCAATGTACTTAAAAATAGTAGAATTTAATAATATTGTGAAAGAAGTAATTTATGCATCCTTGCATTTTGGCTGTATTAAACACAGATCGATAGTCTTTCATGTTCTTCGCTTGAAATACTTCCTATCCTCTGTTTTTCCTCAGTATAAATCTGTTGACATGTCTTAGATAAGTCCTTGGTGATTGTAGAGCCTGTACTAGTATAAGTTAGCTTTTGATGAGCTAATGTTTGATAGATAATTCACGATCGGTAGATTCGCGATATAAATTCGCCGTATCTCTCCAAATGCCCTTTTGAGAAATGCTCGAATTTTTTTTAGTGTGGCTATGCATTTGTAAAAGAATCTAGCCTATTTGTAGAAGCTAGATGACCTAGATTCGACATGTTCGATCTTTTATAAAAAACTTACGAAGGTCCGAAGAAGCATGAAGCGACCTTTGAATCGTTGCTTAGAAACATGAATGACAGTAAGACAATAGATGTCAAAAATGAAGAGGTCCCGGATATAATTTGAAGCATACCACAGACGAAAAACGTCGGTAATTTAAGACATGGTCTTCCTTTGGAAGCCCATGTAATAATGACCACAAACATTGATTGAAATCAGTATATGTTTGATGTAGTGTATGGAACGGGTTTTAAGCCTCGTCCACACGACGAGGGACCTACTTTAAACTGTTTTCGTCATGACCATGTGGACTGTATGAATGACGTCGTTTTCTTTTCTTTTTGTTTTTGTTCAGCGACATGTAGACCGCCATTAGGAATACTACTGTATTAATCTAGGAACATGAA